AAAGGGTTTCCCATGGCTGCAAAGTGAAGCGTGCCTTTGGCGCTGACTCCCGTGGCAGCCGTTTTGGGGTGACACTCTCCATTCCCCCTCAAAACCCTATTGGTGCTTGCAAGCTCAGAAAGGCTTGGGGACTCCTGCTTTAATTGAAAGGATCAATGGCAACAAGGCTGGACTTCTGTCGGAGAAGGCAGACAGCTGCTGCTCTTCGGACAAGATGGTGCTGGGCTACAAGGACCAACAGTCCAAGGGAGCTTTGTAGGTTCAGTGGTTACATCCAGCTCCTTTCTTGCTCACTCCCTGTTTCCTCCCCTTCACCAAGTTTTTTTTAAGTGAATGGCAAAACCTTCAGATTTGCACTCTGTCCCTGTGGTTTTCCTGTCGTATTCTAGCAAATGTCTCTCAAACGGTTACAGCCGCTAATGCAATTTGCACTCTCTGGGATCTCATCCCAACTCTTCAAATTAGAATTTTGTCCTACCCTTCCCACCCTTCCTCCAAGAGCTCAATTAAGGATACCAGACCCCCTGGTGGAGGTGAGGGTCCCCTGCCACCAGGCCCCACTGCCCCACTGCCAATCAGCAGGCTGCCAGGGGGAACATACCCCGATAAAGAGGGAGATTCAGCCAACATGGGGTGAAGTGCCTACACTGCTGCCCATGTGACCTGGAAGTGACATCATCACATTGGGGACGTCAGGTGATGCTTTGGTATTTGGACAAAAAACTCTATGAGAGAAGCCAAATTTACCATAGAGTTTCTGCTCATAAACTAGAGTGTCATCCTGATGTGATGACATCACTTCCAGGTCACATGAGCAGTGATGTAGGCACATCACTGCATGTCAAATGGGCTTCCCTCCTGCTCCTGGTAAGTCCCCCTCCATCCCATGTGGATCAGGACAGGTTATGTGGTTCTTCTTTCTCCATTTTATCACAACAGTCCTGTGAGGCATATCACCCTGAGCGAGCTCAAACCTTTCCATGGGATCCAATCCACAAAATGTTGAGGTTTCCATACTAGAATGTCAGGAAGTGGCTCAGGCTGGTCCGGTCTCGTCAGATCTCAGAAGCTAAGCAGGGTTGACCCTGGTTAGTATTTGGGTGGGAGACCAACAAGGAATACCAAGTTCGCTGTGCAGAGGCAGGCAGTGGCTAACCCACCTCTGTTGGTCTCCTTCCTTGAAAATCCTACAGGATTTCCATGAATCAGCTGCAACTTGACAGCCTTTTCTACCACCAATGTCCAGGGGCAGTGCTATTTATGTCCAATGGAGATTGGTGGTTGTCTGGGCTACACCCTGTAATCCCAATCTGGAAAAGAGTCTCTCCATTCGCTTCCATTGGGGGAGCAGCTTGATGTATACCTCAATAAGGGTTTGCCAGCTCAATTTAATATAAGAATCCTCTGCTGCATTAGAACTAATTGAGTGGAGCTAGAAGAAGACGCTTTTTTGCTGCACACCTTCTGGAAAATCCCAGCCCTGGGATTTGAGAAAAAGACAATGAGGAATTATACATCTGTAGGCAAGGAACTCAAGCCGCACAATGTGTCGGTATTAGAAATCAGTCCTAACATTAGCAGGATTCAGTTCATGGTTTGATAATGGCTTACGTTTGGGCTGATTTGCTTATTGCTTATTCCAATGTTCTTTCTTTTCTTGTTCTAAAATTTCATCTCATTCTCTTGGAATAATAATAATAATAAAAAAAACATCCATATGACACAAGCGTGAATTAATTAACACTGCTGCTTTTTATTCTCTGTGCGTTCCCATCATCCAAGTGTGAATTTGCCCCCATTGCTTGCTGCAGTGAAGCTGTGTTCCCCACTTGTATTTAAACTGGAAAGTCTTGTGTATCATATTGTCAGCTTCATATTATTCTTGTAGGAATCTGGATTGCTGTGAGGAACGGGAAGAACACGATGTTACATGGAGGGTGATCTTATGTGCTAGCGATTTAGTTTTCAACTGGCATCCCAAAATGGGATGGGGAGATCTGAAATTGAATGCACAGTGCAGTTCTGAGCCACTACTAGCCCTACTAGAGTAAACAGACAGGTATACATATCGACCTGAGCAAATAATGGTTTCCCTGGGGCCATGCTGGAGCAGGACAATTGCACAGGGGAAGGCCTGATGTCCCCCTTCTGATAAGCCAAACAATAGGGACCCCAGGCGTATGTGATATGCAGAAATACAAACCGGAAGCGTAGATAGGGTTGCCAAGTCCTTACCTTTCCCGGAGCGGGGGCGTCCAGGCTCGCTCCGGGAGTCTTTGCGCACGCGCCGCAGGCACGTCACACAGAAGTGAGGTAAGCACGTCGGGGACGTTGGGGGCGGGGCCACAACCATAGAGTTTTCCCTCGGATGATTGTGGCCCCGCCCCCAACGTATATCCTTTCAGTATAATAGTGCCCAAAAGACCTCAAAGTCCATAAACAAGGCAGAGGATGTCCCAAAGCACTAAGAAACTTCTGCAGCTGAAAACGTCCTTCCTAGGTATGCCAGACGTTTCAAAGCATTGTTCCTCAGTTATACAGCTGCAAAAGGGAACCCGATTTCCATAGTCATCTAGGCACAGCTCGCGTCTCAAATGGAATCACACCAGAGGAACAGAACTGATCAGAATTTCTACTAGTAATCCTTTAAAGGTGAAAATGCATGAGTTTGGTTATAGGAAACAGAATATAGAACATAGGGGTCTTTCTTCCTGTGCTTCAATATGAGGAATTTTTGCTTTATTTTAATTTTGAAATATTGCCCCTAGTATGTGAAAGCTTGCTCACCAGCTTGTTATCTGTTTCCTGTTACTAAAATATTGTTTACCATAACTTGCAGCGTAAATGAAACCGATTCTTCTTTTGAAGCAAGCCGGAGGTATTACCGCGATTCTTTAACGGGCTATTTTGATGCAAACTGTTTGCCTCTTCAGGATCGTCTCGAATCTCCGCCTTTCGTACCCTACAATCAACACTTTGTTTTCGTCTTATGATTACGACAGTTTGTTAGACTAGTATTAACAAGTAGACTTCTTCAATGCAGTGGTTCCCAATCTTTCGGGGTAACGGGTCTATCTGTTTTCACTCCTAACCAGGTAAATTCTGGAGCACTTTATTAAGACCCAGTTCAGACAGTTATCAGATTGGCCAGTGACTTTGTATGATATGAATTCTCAGATGGATACTAGGGTTGTTGCCCCATAGCTGGCAACCAGTGGGAGATCACAGGGGGCAGGGACTTAACTTTTTGACATTGTCCCAACACCATGACGTCTTTACCGGTGTGTCCCAGAAGTGATGTCATCATGCCAAGGCAATGCTCTAGCATTCGCCCCAAACTCTATGGTTTAATCATTGAGTTTTCGGCTGTGCTCTAGTACCAGAAGTGATATAGCTGTATTGGCATGATGCCAATTGTCCCCCCATTTCCCCAGGCATTCCCCCTCCCCGTCATCCAATTAAGAGGCAGCAGATAGAGCCAGCGGGCATGGGAAGTTTTCTGCCAAAGCAGGAGATCTGGTTTCCCTGAACGGATACCTCTTTGTGCAACAGCCTCCTCTTTTTTGATAATCTAAGAGGGAGAATTGTGCAGATGTGGAGTCCTCATTAAATAGTATCTCACCTTGTACTGACTGCATTTCATGAACCTGCTCTTTATTTTTTGTTCCATAAACTTATTGTCTTGCCTACTGAGGATTCAAAATATTATATGTGATGAAGTGGGCTCTAATCTACCAAAAAATGGAATGGAATAAAATTGCGCATTATGTGAAATTTTCCGCAGTAGATTTTTCCTCACCTGGCGCAAAACCGAAGTTTTCGCCTTCTTACCCAACGTTTTTAGAACTTGCTAAAACGCAGGGTAAGAAGGAGAAAACTTCTGGTGAGGAAAAATCCACTGTGGATAATTTCACATAATACGCAGTTTTAAAAACGTCAGTGCAGGGAATTTCACTACTGCGGAAATGGTCTAAGAGATGAAGACAAACGAGTAACTTGGCATGTGGGTAAATTTTTGGCAGCTGTAGTAACATCATGGTAGTAGTTGATTGAGTCGATTGAAATTGAATCCAATGAAGACAGAGGTCCTGTGCTTGAGTCGGAGCGGGTCGGGGGTAGGGATCCCACTACGACCTTCGGTGGGGCGCCACTGGTGCCAGCTCCGAGGGTCAGGAGTCTGGGAGTGCTCCTGGATGCCTCCTTAACAATGGAGGCCCAGGTAGCAGCCACTGCCAAGGCGGCCTTTTACCACCAAAGGCTGATTAGGCAGTTGTTTCCCTTCCTCGAACACAGTGTCCTCAAAATAGTGATCCATGCTATGGTCACCTCGAGATTAGACTACTGCAATGCTCTCTACATGGGGCTGCCCTTGTCCCAGATCTGGAGGCTGCAGCTAGTACAGAATGTCGCACCCAGGCTGTTGATGGGTCTCTATATACAGGACCACATCCAGCCTGTGCTGAGGACACTGCACTGGCTGCCTATAGCGTAACAGATTCGGTTCAAGGTGCTGGTTCTAACCTTTAAAGCCCTATATGGTCAGGGGCCTGCCTACTTGAGGGACCGCCT